CATCCTTGTGTCAAAGCCCAGGGATCGTGGCTGAGGGCAGAGGTCACGGGACTGAGCTCTGCAGATTTTCAAGGTGCTGATAAGAAATGGTCTCATGGTTACAGCAGCATAGAGAGCCCATATTTAGCTTTAAAACAGCTTTAAAAAAAACCCCAACAGCTCAAATCCCTTCAGCATTAATGGTTCACCTGAGCTCTCAGTGCTGGGGGTGCATCGGCTTCATTAGACACAAATTCCTGCCATGGGAAGGGAGAACATTTCAGTGTCCCCAGGACAGAGGGCTCCAAGGTCTGCACAAAATTCTGTTTATAATCTTGAAAACTCTCTTCATAAATAACTAATTAATTTATCTGGTGGAAACTAAAGAATTGGGGAAGTGGAACGTGATGGCCCCGAGCCCCGATGGGGATTTCATTGTTGCTGCTCTGAACAGAACTGAACATTTCCAAGGCCACAAAAACAACAGAAACAGAGAAGTTCATATAGGAAAAGGAGTTAGTTCACCTTTATTTCATTTCTCCATAGTCCCAAACTTGACAGACGTAGAAAAATATCCTTGAGTCTGGTAGACAAATTTGCCAACGCTAAATAGCCCTTTTCTCTGACCATCTGGGCCACCCTAAATACATTTGTACAAGCATTACTTCAGGCTTTTTGTTCAAGAAAAGGTTTGTCTAAACTATAAACAATAAACTACAGAGGAAAAACTCGACCTACCAAAGCATGCAGATGAAAGGATCCTCCAAAACTTGAAAAAAAACAAAAATAAAATTAAGAAAGCAAACCAACCTTGAGATGCATTTGGAGGAGGAAACAAATTCAAACAATCAGAGGAAAACAATAATTAAGTAAAGAGAAGTCAAAGCAAACTCTGTAAAGTATCTGTGGATAAGTTAAAATATCTATGGCACAACTTTTCACCAAAAAAAATTAAGGCGAAGACCAACGTTTTTATATAAAAATAGCTGAGCAGGCTCCTAAAGCAGGAAAGAAGCATTTCTCATGGTGACTCTGGGAATCCAAGATTATAAATACCCTTATTTACACAGAACCCAAAGCAATACAAACATCTGGACCCTTTCTCTGGGCATCCAGCACTCAAACACCCAGATCTGGTGTCCTGGACCATAGTGGAGGTACTTCAGTTGAAGGTTTGTAGTAGTTTCTTTGCTACACATACTGATACAAATCATAAAAATGCAATATAAATAGAGATTTTCACAGAGAAACTCAGGAATACACAAAGCTTAAGGGATTGGCCCAGAAAGAAATGATAGAAGTTTTAAAATCATCAATTGTTTTGTAGTCTAAGGAAAACATCCAAGTTTTATAATAATATTTAAACTTTCAGAATAGTTGTTTTTTTAAAAAAATCAAACTGATACCTACAGTGAAAATAAAGCAGGAATTGTCATGGCAGAAGATTCATTATCTCTTCATAAATACAGCAGTTTGTTTATTTGCCAAGTTCACTTATAAATGTCATTATTATGGGCATTTTCATAAATTTCCAAGCCTAAAAGTTACTGATTTTAAAGGAGATGAACAACAAACCATATTTTCATGGATGTATTTGACTAATTTTTCAGAACTATGTCATCCATACATAGTAAGACATAAAAATAAGAGCAAATCAAATATATTTTAGAAGAATCACATTAATATTTCAAGTTAAAATACCTTTGTAGATGTTAATATGATCAAATTCAGTATATCTGTGCACATGATAAATCTGCATCAGTGTATCCACATACACTCAGTAATTCCAGAAATAACCACAGAAATCATAAAATTCCCATTGGAGAAGACAATTTTCCCCCAACACAACTCAGTGGATTTGCCCATGACTTTTGGAGCTGTAATTCACAGAATTTGCAGCTAAAGCAGAAGCTTTAGTTTAAATTTTCTAGTTTACTTCAACTTTCTTGCCTAAACCCCAGGCCCTTCATTTCTACCTCCTCGTGCCTCATCCCCTCCCATCCCTCGTCCATCCTGACAACCTCCCCCTACTATTTCTGGGAGATAAATGTGAGGGGGAAGATCAAAAGGACTCTTAAGATGAAACTTAACTACAAACATGGTCTAAATCTACATTTAGCCTGCTACTGATTCATTTTTGCTGAACACTTGCTTAACATCTGCTGATCTTTTCTCCCTAATATCCCACCTTCGGTATTTTCTTGTCCATAGATTGTGTTTAAGACAAATACAGAAAAACAGCACTAGAATAAACCAAGTGAATGTCTCACACTCAACTAAAACCAAGCAGAGAACCGAAGGATGCATGTTGGAAATAATTTATTGCCTAGAAAAGGTTAAAAAAAAAAAGCTTAAGTTCACATTTTCTGTGTGGGTTCAAGGGTGGTGTCAGAGGTAGTGTGTGTAAAATGTAATACAGAGCTGGAAAAGAATTACTGACTTCCTTCAGTAACACAGGAAAATGTTCCCCGAACCAAAGCACAGCCCTGTTTTCCTTACAGGAACATTCTTAAGCACCTCTTTTATCCAAGAGGGTTTGCTCATTTGTTGAAAAAGAACCACCACCACAAGCCCAAGGTTCTGTCCCACCTGTCTTCTGACCAAAGCAGCTGCTGCTTTTCAGAGAAATGAATATTCAGACCAAAACCCTACTGTGCCATGGAAAACACTAACTTTGTAGCATTGCTTATCCTTTTTTTTTCAGATTTCCCATTTGGCCAATGGGCAAAAATTTACTGGAGTAGGGAAATCATCCACCACAAACCAGCTTGTTTTCTGTGGGAACCAGACGGAGTTTTCTCACTGACCAGCCCCTAGCTTTGCTCAGGGACCTCACAACCAAACAACTCACTCACTTGTGATGATTTGGGACAGAAAAGGCAGGATTTGGCCCTGCCAGTGCTGCCAGTCCTTCAGAGCAGCCTGGGGGAGTGGGGCAGGGGCTGGAGGGAGGACAGCAAGCTTTGGGTTGGAACAAGGTACGGATTCTTCCTGTTTCAGGTATGCTGTGCTATTCCCTTAATGTATATTATTGTCCTTCCTTCCATATTATTGTTCTTCCTTCCATATTATTGTCCTTCCTTCCATATTATTGTCCTTCCACATTGTTATCCTTCCTTACACTCCAAGGACCCTGAGACCGACAGCTGGCTCTGCCTGGAGCACTGAGGGAAGGTCAGTGCTGTGCAGGAGTTTGTTCTCAATGTCAGGAATACAGTAGGGCAAGAGATCCCAAGTGGGAAAGTGGATCCTTTTGTCAAAATTGCAGTAATTCCCATTTCCACAGTCAGGATACCCATGGTGGTGTGGATTTGTTCTGTTCACCTGGATGAGCACAGCAGACACAGCTGTCTCTGTCTGCAGAATGGACTTGGTAAAGCTCTTCCCAGTTTAAGGTGAAGACAGAACCAGTACATTCCTTCCCTCACTCAAAGGGCTGCAAAGCCAAGGATCTGCTTCTTATCTCAGACTTTTTATTGCCTTAGTGAAAAGAAATCCTGGGAAAGATTAAAGCTTGAGGACCGAGCACAGCAGAGAACTGACACTTGTATGTACATCTGCTTGGGTACCTTAAATCTGCCCCAAATTTACCTGTTAGTTGCTATTACTCACTCCTGTCAGACTCTAGATGTGACAGCAGCAGGGAAAGGGAAGGAGGCAGAGCTGCAGGAAACAGGTTTTGAACCACGAGCCAACTTGTCACATCAAAGGCTCTGCTCCCCGAGGAGAGCCCAGCCTGTCTCTGCTCAGCTCTGTTCTGAGCTGCCTCTGCCCACCTGGGCTGCTCCAGACACACACACGTCAGCACTGATGTTCCCATGGATGCACCAGGGATAAAAACACCAGGGAAGTCACTGTTCATGGACAAAGAAATGAGAGATTTCACAGGGTGGTGAAACATCCACAAGTGGCCCTTCTGCTGGAGAGGTTACTCAAATTAGTCAAATCATTGACATGGAAATGAGGCTGATTTCTGTCACCCTAAAAAGCTTTATTTGTTATGGAAAGTCTATGGAATGATAAATTAGCCCTTAATGTGGGCTCTCATTATCGTCCTACAGACCCCAAATCCTGCCAGGCCAAGGGCCCACAGAGCCACCCCACTGCTTTCCATCAACACTTAAAATACCACTAATGGCAATTTAAATGTCATTAAAAATTTGGAAATATGCACTAACAGTGAAAAAAAAACCAGCCAAAGAGCTGTACAGTATCTTCCTCCACAGCATTCTGTTATTAGCGATATAATTCACACTCTTCCTTCCTGATATCCTGTGAAGTTGTCAGGTGTCTCAGCTGTGGAAGCACCACTGCCTCACTGGGTTTTTGGTGTCTCCCTACAGGAGAAAGGGCCAAAGAACAACATTCCCTCAGGGATGGGTGGGTGTTGACTGCAGCTCCTTTCAGCTGAACATCCAAGAGGAGTCTAGCTTCCTAGAGCAAGGGGACTGACATAATTGCAGCAGTTCATTCAAAATTCATTCCTTCCATTTGTTTGGAGATGGAATAGAAACAAGACAGCAAAATAGGAATCATCAGTGGGAGCTTTTCTTGCAGAAAGGTGGATGACTTAATTGACCATGAAATCAAGAACTCCCATTAAGAGTATGCTGCCTTTTGTCATGGGAATTTCAGAGAAGCAGTAGGAAAACAGGGTCCAAACAGTGGCAAATGACAGTACTAGAACACAGAAAACAAGAGGCTTAGTTGTCAGGGGCCCTGATTTCCTGTCTGGAGAGGACAGCAATAGAAACCATTGTCAGCCTGGGATAGAAAACCCTTTATAAATCAGCTTTTCAGAGCCAGCAGAATTCCAGCTGAGCTGTGTCTTCCACGGGAAGGACAGCATTGTGATCTCTGCTCACAAACCTTCATTTTAGACTGGGGGCACTTGCACAGTGTGGCAAACTCTGCTCCACCTGGGGTGAGGCCACAAGGACGTGTCTGCCAGCCAGGATGGGACATTCCACCCCTCACCTCCTGGTCACACAGAGCCTTCCCTCTCTCCTGGGATCCCATTCCCAGTTTTAATGCCTCCACTCACATCCAGGTCCAGCAGTTTGGAATTCTGGGGTTGCTCTGCAGAGTATGTGGTCAGAGATCTGTTGGGAACTAACAGAATCATACACTGGTCAGAACTGTGCAACTTGGTTTTTAAAACACCTTTTAAAACTGTCCCTACCCTTCATGCAGCTGGTGTTTAACAGTATTGCTAAAAGCTCCTCATGCCCAACGACAAGAGAGACAGAAAAAACCTGAAAGGACAGAGCTCACTACTGGCACTAAACAAAAAGAGTTGTAAAAGTGATTAGGGAAGAACAGATCAGACTGAGAAAACCCTAAAATCTGAGTTAACAGCAGTACTGGGGTGGGGGGGGAAGGAGTTATTTCCCCAACACTCTGGATTCTCTGAGCTACACCTTGGACCTCCCACTGAAATTAAGGGGATTACTCGCTGTCCTGGATGAATAAGGATTCCCCAGAGTCAATTGTTATTTGGCATAAAATAGAAAGATCAGTTTTTTCACCTGATTGTGTGAAAAATTCTTGCTGAGGGATTCAGATTCCATTTAGAGCATCAATGCCATGGGCAGGCAGCTACAGCATCACCCAGGATCATCCTGGAGTTCCAAACGCTGGAAAACCTTTCAGGATGCAAAGACAGCTCTGGAATTCTGACTGGCTTGGTAAAATGGAGCAAAGTTTGTGGAAAAATACACAACCCATACTTAAAATAATAAGCAGAACTTCAGCATTCAGGCTTTGACAAATCAAAACTGTGACTACAATCATAAAACCCTAAAGAATGTAAACATCCAATCCCATTGCTACTGTATCAGGAAGTCATGCCCTGCAGGTATCAGGGCTCCCATTTCCATCTCATTTCTTCCAACACTTAGCACTGCTTCTTCACATTAATAATTTACTGGTGATAATTCAATTTTCTGAGTTAGCCTTTCAAGGTTTTTTCAGCTATTTTGGTCAGAAAATGGAAGATTCAACAATCTCAAGTCAGAGAACGAAAAACGCTTTAGTTTAATTTCAGGTTTTCCAAAGGGTTCAAGCACAACTCAGAGAAAGCCCGTTGTTTTATTTGGAACCCCAATTTTTAGTCCACCTACCTGAGTAAAAATGGGGAAAAATATAATAAACAGGCCTGGTGAGCACGTGAGGCTGAAGGATTTGCTTTCCACTCAGAAATCCCTGCTCAGAAAGACTTTGCTACAGAGCCAGAGTTACTCTGGAGAGTCAGGAGTTCTCCCAGCCAAGGCCAAACTGCTACAAGTGAAACCTTCTCTCACCCAGTTCTTTCCTTTAGCAAAACCACCATTGCAAATTCCTTGCCAGTGCAAACTGCAGCTGGGCTGTGCCCCAGCCATCCTTCAGGACAGGCTCCTTCACCTTGGACTTGCTTTTTTTTGGGCTGAGGAAACACTGGAGAGCAAACTGCCCTTCTCCTGAAACCTGCATGTCCCAGAGGGGTTCTGGTTTGTCAGTTAAAAAAAAATAAATCACAAACTGTCTGAGGCATTTTTCTCTGACAAAGAGGACAAGCTGAATGAGGTATCATCAGGCTCTGGGGAGGTGTGGTTGAAATCCATTTCTTCTAGTTCAGGAGGTAAGTCTGAAAGCAGTGCCTGGAAGGGAAAGACCATGACAACACAGTATTAGGTGTATTTTTTTTATATGTCAAAATTCAAATATCTTTTAAATAAAGAGCGAAAAACTTCATTGGGTTTTTCAGTCCTAATTTGAGCTGTGGAATAAACTCAAGGGAGTGACAGGACACAGAATGACAAACACCTTCTGATATTGAGGACAAACATGTTCTGATATTAATGACAAACAGCTGATATTAAACCCACCCCAGGGCTCACCTGCTGCTGTTCTTTATCATCTGATTTAATTGCCAGTATCAAACTCCGAGTGAACGTCTGCAGTTCAAAATACTTCTGCTTGTGGTTCTCCAGCTGGCTCTCAATGAATCTGACCTCTTCATTCTGGGGGGGAAATCAGAGGGAGTTCTGGGAATGCTCATGGGATTGTTTGGGTTGGAAAAGCCCCCTGAGACCTTTTGAGTCCAACTGTTCTCCCAGCACTGCCAAGGCCACCCCTGTCCCCAAGTGCCACATCCACAGGGCTGGTAAATCCCTCCAGGGATGGGACTCCAGCTCTGGGCAGGACAAAGCTTTGGAATAACCCCCACTGCAGCTTTTTAATGACACCTAGACACACTTGGGTTAAAACTAAATGTTTTTAGTGAAAATGACAACCAAAGCCCAAGTCTCTCTTCCTAGCAGTGATCTTGAAAAGGCAAAGGGACTGTGAGAAGAGACAAATAAATTCCATTATTGCAGCAGAAGGCTTGACACAAAACCCAGGGAAAATAATTCTAAAATTCCTCAAAGCTCCTACAAATTAAAATGTAGCATCTTTAGTGGAGCTGGGTCTGACATGGACCACCAAGTGTCAGCTCACCAATCTCCTCAGGGTCCCTCGGGTCACACAATAAACAGGGATTTTCCAACCCAGGTTTGGGTTGGAAAGGAGCTTATAAATCATCTCATTCCAACCTTCATATAGTTATTTCTGGGCATTGAAACTAGATGTACAAAATGGGGAACTGTCAATAATGTGCATGTCATGGCTAAAAAGACATTTTTCCAACCTATACTTGCAAATCCCATAATTAAAAATTCAGATTTGATAAGTACTTCTGTTTATTCCAAATATCTCCTCTCCTTCAAACTTACCAACTGATTGGTAGGCAAGATCCAAATGCTGAATCTGGTGATCAGTGTAGAGCTAAAATTCATTTTCTGTGGTTATTTACCTTTGCAAAGATCATGAAAATCAAACTGTGTATTCAAGTTACAAGATCAGAGTCACTGCTCATTTTTGTAAAGGGGCCCTGTATAACAGTACCAACTGTGCATCCTCCTGGAGAAAAAATATGCTGTTTCTGCTTACACTTGCTGGCTGTAATTCAGCTTTAGTTGATAGGAAAAGGTGAGATTATGTGATGCACTACAGGTTTCCTGGTCTTGTTGGTTTTTTTTCCCCCAGAAAATTCCCATTTTTTCAGTGAGAACATTGCTCTCCACACTGCTTCAGGTGATAACAGCTCTGGGAATGAGAGGGGAATATTTGGACTGTGATTTTGAGGCTTTCATAAAAAAATGAGTTGAGTTTCTTTCAGATGGGAACTCAGCAGTTCAGCACTGGATTTTGCCCAGCCAAGGAAGAATTCAGATTTAGGTAGAAAACTCCTGGATTAATCAGTGATGTCAAATGACAAACCCAGGTCTGCAGGGCACTGTCACAACAAGCCTGTCACTGCAGTGAGAGGTGACATTAAGAAAAGGTCATTCCCTCTCCACGTTCATTCCCCACTGCCCTTCCCAGGAAAACGCTGCTGGAAGGAGCAATTTTTGTTCTGAAGGGATGATCTGTACAGACCTGGTTTCCAAGTGAAAAAAATCAGCTACACAGGGAAAGCCATGCTCAATAAAACATGGAATTATGGCAGCTCAGGGGAGCAGTAACATCCCCTCCCCTTCACCCTTAGGCAGCTGTCAGGATCCCACTGCTTCTCCTCCCTCCCACAGTCACCACTTCCAGGCACGTCCTGGGAAATGACTTCTCCTCAGACCCCCCATTTTATTAAGGATCCCAGCTGTTATGTCCCTTCCAGAGCTGGCAGCAGGAGAAGTGTGCTGCAGCATTCCAAGGAACAACTGTCCCACAAAAAGGGAGTTGTGGTTTACAGGCTCCATAAACTGGTTTGGGACACGTGGCAGGAGCTGCACCCACAGCAATGCAACTGCTCTGTGAAGTGGGGTTTTCCTGCTTCCCTGGGGGTTGAAATATGGAAAGTGTGGCTGGAGGTGGGATGAGAGGGGTCTGAGGGCAGGATGTGCACACAGGGATAAGAGCAGAGGGGCTGCCTTTGCTGAATTCCTCCCCTGAACTCCCTGAGGATTGTCCTGCTGTGCCTGACACAGCCCAGTTACTCACCTTATAATCCAAGAGAGAACTCATCTGATCCACTTCAGAATTACTGATCATATCACTCTCCTCATCATCGATAATTTCTATTTTCTGGAACAGAAGCAAACGGTTCATTTGGAACATTCCAACGCCCAGAGAAGACAAACCAACCAGGATCCTCATCCCAGAGTGCCAGGAGGGGTGAAGGTGACAGGAGACAACAATCCACGTCTCCAAGTGGCAGAAAGGATGCAGGGCTGGGCTGGCTCCGAGGAATCCCGAGCTGTGCAGCCCCATTAGGTGGCAACACTGCACCTCAGCCAGGACCCAGGAATCCACAGGGAGCTGCTGCCATGGTGACTGGGCTGTGTACAGGGGAGGAGCTCCCTGGTTCCAGGATTTAGGCATCAAATTGAACATTATATCCCCTCACAGCCCTGCTCTGAAGGAGGTTCTGGAAGTTTATCCCTCTGGAGTAAACCAGACATTAGGGCAAGTACTGATCTATTTTGTGCCTGAAAAATGAAGGAGTTCCCCTTTGTCCCTCTCTGGCCACAGGGCAAGTGAAGTGCCCTAAACAGCAGAGGATGCTGATCCAAAGGACAGTTCCAAATCCACAAACGTGGACATTTTCACCTAATTCACAAAAATTTGGGGAGGTTTTTATATTGGGTTTCTAAAGACACCTAAAGCACAATGTTAAGACCAAGCTTAATGCTGATTAAAACTTAGAAATACATCCCAATCCTATCCCAACTTTTAAAAAAAAAATCACTTTTACATTATTTACCAATTGCATGCTCTGTTTTCTCCCAACAGAAAAGAACGTTTTTTTCTTTTTATGTAAGAAAATTCAGTTAAAAGGTTATTTCAACAGGAGAAAACACAAAATGCACACATTTTTAGTGCCTCTATGAGATTTTAATTTTTATTCCTATCTAAGGTATATATCAAACAGATAAAGTGGATGTGAATTAGTGACAAGAATGGCATTTTTCGACAGAGCTGTGAAGCATGACTGCCCAGATTTCACTACATTTGAGAGGGAAGCAGGGGTAGTATATGAGAAGGAGATTGTTTTTTAACTATTTTTAATTGGTTTGATAGTTGTGAACATCTATGAGACTATCTATAATAAAGCACTTTTACTATGGTTTCAGGATAGTGTTTAAGCCCAGTCCAGGCTCATGGTTGGTTCCTGAGGTGTTATTCCAGAGGAGGCTCCTTCCCTGCAGCACATCCATGTCCCTTCTGGCTGCCTGCACTCCAGGCAGCAGGAATGTCCTTCTGATCCCAAGGAGAAACCCTTCCAGGGGGGGTTACCAGGCTCTCCCTGGCAGGACCCACCAAGGTCCCAAGTGTGTGTTGAAAGCAGGGAGGATAAACCACATTTCCTGTGTCTGACAGCCCAGCTGAAGTGACAACACTTCAAAGGCTCCATGTCCCCGAGATCTGCTGCTCCATCCTACCCTCGGCAACACTGTGATTCAAATATTTTTGTTTTTAGGCTCAGCTTGAGGAAAGAGTCTCTAAATAAGTGCCAAACATTCACACTATCTTTCTTAGACATACACTTTAAGATAGTAGGGGAAAGAACAGATTAGAATTTCAAATAGGAAAATTGCATCTCTTATGCAAATCCAATGTATTTTAGTCCAATTTTAACTGCATTTTTAAAAAGTTTTGTGACAGTGTTTTCAGAACAAAGTGTGAAGAAACTATTCCTTGGATTTGTTCCCGTTATTACATCAAATTGCACAGTGCTGGGCTTCAGGGAACTGGAGAGCTGAGTCTCTGAGACATCATCTCTGCAAACCCTTTGCCTGTCACTTCAGATCCTGTATCTCCATGGGAGACACATCAGCCAGACCTCCGAGGGATTAGCTGAGGTCACAGCAGGACACCTGGGATAAGGGAGGGAAAAGGCAGCTGGATCTGTTCAGGATCTGTTCAGGCAGCCTGTGGGGTTTCAGTGTATCCAAAGGATGATCATAATTAACAAGGGAAAGGAAAAGTCTCCTCCTCCCAGGGGGAAAGGGACTCTCCTGTTGCTTCCCCCCTCAGGTTCTGGGTGGTCAATGGAACACAAATGTTGTTCCCTGTTCTGAGCTGTGGGTTCAGCCCTGCCCAGGAGGGCAGTGGGAGCTGGGCCATGCCCTGATCATTCTGCAGGTAACTCCAGGTAAAAGTCACTCACCTGGGGTCTTCTCTCCTTTCTTCTAACCTGAGAGAGGGCTGGCTGAACACAGGGATTTATGGCATTATTTGCCAGGACTCCTCTCTCTGCCTGTCCTGCCTTGTCTCACTCTCTCAGTTAAACCAGCAAGGGGGAAAACAAGAAACACCTCAATAATGCCCTGGCCAGGGTATGGGAGTGAAGGATCCCAGAATCCCAGACCATTCTGAGTGGGAAGGGATCCCCAAGGATCATCCAGCACATTCCCATCCTACCTGACTCACCCATCCAAGGTCAGCCAGGCAGAGGAACCACTAGAGATACCTGCTGAAAGCTACAGAAAACCAGGTTTAATTCTGGGGTTTTTTTTCTCCTTCTTTCTGTTTTGCTACACTTGGTACTTTCAAAGCTCTACCCAAGAGTTGGGCTTGGCCCTCCAGAGGAAGAACAGCAGATTGGCAGAATACAGAAAAAACATGTAATTCCATTTCCACTGAATATTTTAGTATTTTTTTTCTACTGTGTTTTAGTATTTCTAGTAGAGTTTTAGTGCTCCCAACTAGGAAGGCCTCTCAGCACCCTCAAGTTTTCACCTAATGAGAAACATTGATATTGGACAACCCCAGTATGAGGAATTCAGGAGGCAAAGGAAGGTACCTACCACATTGTCAGCGGGAACTGGATTCTGGTCATCATCTTTGTGACCAATTTCTTCATTTTGAAGAGCTTCATTTGTCTCTTCTGCAGAAATAAATTAGATTTGTCAGGTTTCATTCCACTCTTATGCTGCAGGAACATTAATAGTCTTTACCATAAATATGTCACAGCTGCTAAATTCAAAAGCAAAGTCATAGTAACAATGTCTATTCATAAAAAATAACATATGTCTGATTAAAGAAGACATCCTGTCACAAGGATTTCAAGCCAATTTGCCAATTGCTACTTGAAACAATAGGAAAAATATCAGTTATTCTCTTACAATCTTCCTGTTTTTTGATTCAGGTTGGAATATTAAAAGAGTTTCACATCAAAGGTGTACAGAACATTTTTTTTAATGTCAAATAAATTACTGCATGAAAAATTCTGCATTCCCTGAAATTACAGGATACATATCAGAATATCATCTGAAATTATAGGTATGTGTCCGAACCCACCTCCTCCTTGCAGACATAGGTTAGTTTTGAACCAAAAACTGAGCAAGCAGATAATTTCCTTCTCATGTGGCAAATGTATCCCCACTGAACCTAAGCTGCTGTTTTATGTACAAGCACTTGAAAACAGAGCATATTTTACCCTTCTATTTCAACCACAAGGATGAAATATAGATGAAATACAGAACAGATGATTCTATTTGCCTTAATGGCCAATGAGAAAACATAACCCAAAGGAAGATAAGTAAGTCTGTTCACCCCTAAAATTATGTTTCTCATATTTACTTGAATTTTCTGCATTAATATATAAATATATATATTTAATATAAAGAGGAAAAGAGGGAATGGGCAGCAAGGTTCAGGTAGGACACTGGAAGGGGGCAGGTGGCAATGCCAGGGTCTGTCAGCTCCACACATACACAGGGATAACAGGATTTCCCTGGGATTACCAACACTGCAAGGACAGGATAATGTTTAGGCCAGATCATACAGAGACAGTTAATTGTTTTAAGTAACTTTTCTACCAGTTGAATATCTCTAAAGTGAGTAAATTTAATTTAAAATTGTTTCGAATAAGTTTAATCTGCCATCAGTCGTGGCTTCCGAGGACAATTAGTGCCAGGAGCAACAGGAATGGGATCAAATGGGAGAACTGGAGAGTAGGAGCAGGGAAGGGCCCTCGTTACACCCAGGGGGGTGAAGGGCACTGAGGAGGCACCTCAGGGACTCGGGAACATTCCAGAGCACCAGCCACTCCATAACCCTGAGAGTCACCCCTTGGATCCCACAGCAGCTCCCTACAGCATTCCCAACTCTTTAAATATTCATCCTCAGCTCACAGAACCCAGCACAGCTCTGACCCTCCACAGGGATGTGCTCTTACAAAGCATGGATCCAATTAACATACAATTTAAAAAGGTGAGGCAATAGAAGAGCTTTAATGCTTCATTTGGCATCACAGTACAGCTCACTCTATTTTTTTATATTTATACATTTTAAAAGCAAGAGCCATCACCAGTGTCACTCTAATCAGGTGATCAAAAATAGCTTTTTTTCTGTCTTTCAAAGTGGTTTTTGTTGTGGTGGTTTTGGGTTTTTTAATAAATTAGGATCAAAAGTTACAGTTCTCAAACATTAAAACAATCCCTATCTGTGACTGAATGGCACACATGAGTATTAGGGGAAATATTTTCCAGGGAGTTCAAAACAAGCTGAGCTGCAGCAGTAAAACCTCTTCCTTTGAACTGGAGAAATGAATAGCAATAATTGTTGTGGGAGAATAAAGGAATGAAAGTGGGATTCCTGGATGCTGTGGAAATCCTGTCATTTTTCTTGCACTTCCTTAAGCTTTGACACTAATAATCTACTCAAAGTCTTCCAGCCTTATCTTGTTTTATGAAAGCCTTGCTCAAAAAAAGTGCTGTTATTTCTCACTTTAACTACAGAGGGTTCAGACTCTTCCCCTGTCACTGTTTTCTTTCAAGCAGATCTGACTTAAATCAGCTCTTTCCACACCTCAGGCAAATCAAGGACTTGGAGATTCTGCATCTCACTTGCCTTTCAATCACTTGACCCATTTCTTTATCATCTTATTCTCTTTCCAGCAGGTTATGACAAAGCCATCACAAATTCCTTCCCAGCAGCTCTCCCTTTTCCTGATTCTTCCCTTGAAATCGTTCTGACAAGATGACAAGATCAAGCCTGGCACATCGAGCTGCACCAGCAGGCCCGAGGTCAGGCTTTCTTTTAGTTTAGAGAGCAAAGGCTTTATTGATCTCTCTAATCAGAAGCACTGGGAGCAATTAGTGAGCTGTGGATGTGCAGAGCAGCTCGTGGGGCCCAGAGCTCATGGACAAGAGGGGAAGGGAGGGATCGATTCCATGTGCTCGTGGGAGGTGGAGGAAAAGGGAATTAAGTCCGAGACACTTCTCACTCCAGATCCTGCAGTTTTCCAAGGACATGCCCTGTGGGTGCAGCTCTGAGGCTCCTGAGCCCTCCCTGCTCCTGGCTTTGATCTGCTGGTTGGTGTTTGCCTGTCAGAGCCTGGAGCACCAGGAGTTCTGGGCAGCTTTAGCTCAAGCCCAGGTCTGAGCTGATGGTTCCCTGCCAGGAGAGCTGTGAGTGCCCAGCTCTGCTCAGCTCACATGGAGCAGGTCCATGTGCATCAGTGCCTGGGGTCACTGGGGCTCACAGGAATCATGGAATCACAGCATGGTTTGGGTTGGAAGGGACCTGAAAGCTCATCCAGTCCCACCCCCTGCCATGGCAGGGACACCTTCCACTAGCCCAGGCTGCTCCAAGCCCTGTCCAACCTGGCCTTGGACACTTGCAGGGATGGGGCATCAAACAGGATGGATATTCCAGGTGGTCATGTACACCTGGCCAGTTTGCAGAGAGCATTTTTTAAACCTGGCTTCCTGGGGAAGGGAGATTCTTCATCTGTGCTGTCAGTCCAGCTCTCAGCTGCACCAGCAAAATGTGAACTTGTCTTACATGAATGAGGCAGAAACGGAGCTCTTACAAGAAAAGGCTCCTGCAATTTCTGTGATAACAAAGCCAACAGAATTCAGAGAGAGGGAGAAGAAAGAGACCAAACAGTACCTTCAACAAGCTGAGGTGGAGCCCTTGTGACTGTGAGAGACTCTTTCAGACGTTTGTGAATGTGAACAACAGAATCCAAAGCATGCACACTGCACAAAATTAAAAATACAGGCACAGCAGTAACTGCAATTCAAATACCTTGTGAGCTTCCTTCAGATAAGCAGATTGACACTTCATCATTCCTATCATTATCATCCCCCACTTCAGTAGCAGTTTCCTCTCCTGGATTAAGTGCTGATTTAGAAACAAATTCAGATTGATCAGAGAAATCAGCAGGACCTCCTCTAGGGGGTGGGACCTCAATCCCCATTAAACGATATTTCCGTCTTCGATTCCCAATCCAAGTCTTGTAAGAGAAATAAACATGAATGAATCAGAAACTATGACAAAGCAACAGGCCCCCAACCAAGTGACATCAGCACATCTGGACTACAGGAACAAGAGTGCAGCAGCACTGCAGGGGAGGGGTCATTCCCCCTGTTTGACCCTCATGAGGCTGATTCCTGGGATCCTGTGTCCAGGCTCAGTCCTCCAACACAAGGGAAAAGGGAAGGTGCACAGCGAAAGGAAAAGCAGCAACAGGCACAAGTGGCAGCAAGGGAAGCTCTGACTGGAGTTGAGAAGAAAAGGAAAAATATTCTTTCCTGTGAGGCACAGGGACAGTGTGTCCATAGGAACCTTGGCACCTCCAGCCTTGGAGGTAACTCAGCATTTTACCGGACGTCATCCTGGGAAACCTGACCTGACTGCAAAGTCAATCCTGCTCTAGATAAAGAGCAGGACTAGGTGACCTCGTAAGGTCTCTCCCCACCTAAATTATTCAACAAATTTAACTTAAGATCTTTGATCCAGGTTTCTCCCACTCTGCAACTTCTTAAGGGGACTAAAGTGACCCAAACATCCCACCTGTTCTAGGATTTCCTACAGGGAACTGGCCAAGGTGACAGACCTACATCACTCCACTCTGAGGACAGAACACTAAGTTCAGAGCAGGATCATCCTTCAGTCCCCTGTGGTTGGAAGACAAGGCTTTAGGAAGCACTGCCTGCAGGAAGGTAGAGGAGCCCACTGGGAACAGTGGTGGAAGATGGAACAGGCCCAGGACCCAGGAACCTGGAACCCCATTCCCGGTGGGATGGGTATGGATGCTTTAAGTTCATTTTACATCAATAAAGTTTCAAAAAAGAAAAAAGGGAAAAAAACCCTCTAACATTTCAAATTCTCCAAGTGGATCTGTACAACTGTCCATTAATTTGCTTTCTCTGATAAAGAAAAGTCTACACTAAAAATTATTTAACACCCAAAACAGGGTTTAACATGATGTCATAAGAACTGTCTGCACCTCTTCACCTCTTACCTCTCTCCCTTCCCTTCCATTACTGAGGCTTTTTTCTGATATAGGGCATGAAAAAGTTTAGTAAAAAAAACTTGTTGCTTGTAATATCTTGATTATCAAAGAGAAAAATAAAAAAATATTAACAGCAGTCCCAACTACTAAAGGAAGCTTCATGCTGTGCTAACCTTGAAAAAAAGATCTTTTCAAGCTGCATCTCTAACTAGCTAAAAGGTGACATGCTGAACACTATTTTTGGCAAATCCTTTTTGTTGGCTGGTATTTGCTTTCCCAGCTTGCTGGTTTTCCTCTTTGAAGAATGCACAACAGGCACGCAGAGAGCTACCCAGATAATTTTGTATATTATGTATTGTTTGGGGAAAAAAATAAAAGAAAAAAAAAAAACCACAAGCAGCCCTTTGAGATCTGTATCTCTTTTTTCCAAGCTGTGTATTGCCACTCTTTAAATTTTCCCATAATCTTGTGATGGTAATAAATAGTGATAACAAGTAGAAAATTTAAAATTGAATCTACTTCTTTTTTAGTAAAAAATTCAGAGCAAACTGAGGCACTTGGGAAAGGCAGATTTTGTCTTTTTATACACCTTTCAAAGCAGAAAAGCTTTCATTGAACATATTGAATATGCCATAGAAGATGAACATGTTTTTATAGTGTCACCAGCTTTTACCTGGTGAACTGCTGGCAAAGAGGAGGAGATGTCTTTACCCTACAGTGCGTGCTTAGGAGTAGCTTTGATCTCTTATATCCAAAAGCTTTCTGTTCTATTAATTAAAAAAAAATATATAAAATTGTTATGCAGTTGTCTTATATTCCTCCCATATTTCTGAGGAGCTTCATAGCTGACATCCCTCCTTAGCAAATGTCTGTCTTGCTGCCAAAAGGGCTATTCTGCTATTCTTCTATGAATTAATAAAAATGTGTAAAAAAAAAACCAAACAAAAAAAAACCCCCACAAAACAAAGAACCCAAAACAAAATGTAATCAGCCATAATTATAATGTAAAACAGAGAAATATTTTAAGTTAAAGAGGTTTTGGCCGGAGTTCACATATTTAAATTTGCTGTGGGTGTTATTTTTTATACACACACACATACATATATATATATATATAAACCCAAATATGTGTATATATATATATATATATTTATATATGTATGTGCAGTTGGGTTTATATGGATACTCAGTACTACTTTATATATGCTGCATTTATTTTTTACATCACAATTCTTGCTACAATTCCCAAGTCTGCCATATAGAGGAACCAGAGTCAGAGGTGGGGCAGACTCTGGTAACAATAAAGAAGAAAAGATATCTTTTTTTTCCTTCATTTGTGTGTGTTTTGATACAGGTTATGCCAGAGCCCTGCCCTGAGGACAAAAGCATTGCAGCAGATTAAAGGTATGTACAGAACTTCACAGTGTCCCCCTGTGTGATTCCTAAGGGAACAAACTAAAGGAGCATGGATGTCACTGTCCTGGAGATGAGCTGTGTCATGTCCAGGAGATGCTGGCAGTGGGAACAGCTCCACCTTTCAGAAAGCAAACTGAAGAGCTTGGGAAATAGGGAGCAGCTTTGTTCTCTACAGAGAAAAGAGTAATTCTTTTCAGCCTCCAAAAGTACAGTTTAGTTTTTTAGGATTCAGGCAAACAAGTAAATAATCAGATCTGTGTTAACACTGAGAGTAGCTCTGGTACCATTCTGATGTTCCAACCCAGAGGCCTCCCCAACAGGAGGGTTTCAATAAGGGCTCCCAGCTCTGCTTTTGCAGCAATGTCAGGAATTTAGGAACGAGGTGGAAAAAGAGGATGGAGACTGAAAGGACTGATCATAAATGTCCTGCTTGTTATGGGGGCTCTTGTCATGTTTTTGTCGGACTGAAGGACAGCCAGACTCTTTCCTGAGGATGGACACACCTTGAGTGACTGAGACCCCCAGCTGGAGAGTGATGCTGTATCTCTGCTCATCTGGGACACAGTGGCATCAACTGAGGCTGTACCAAACTTCCCAGCCTCTGGAAGAGATGATGTGGGGTGTTCTTGGGAGTCAGGTGATCTCCACCACCCCTGTACCTTGTAAAGCAATCCCTCCTCAGCCACACCCACATGGACTATCAAACTGAACCCAGAATTGTTCACAGTGCCCTGTGCTATCCATCACATCTCAGCCTGCCCTGAAGACACTCCTGTTAAATAGTTTTTTTCCTGTTTTGGAGCATTTTCTTTCACGTGTTTTTTTCCTATAAGCATGAATGAGAAATCCTTTCCCTTTGTCTACAGAAAAGTCTTTTTTTGGTATCTTAATAGCAATATAAATAGCACCTTTCAGTCTTCTAGGATCTCCCTACAAAACGAAACATTTCTACTTAAAATCTTACTCCAGAGGATGTCAAACAGCTTGTAGTGCTGCTTCTGCTGCTGATCAATAAGATCTTACCTGAGGGCTTGTGCTATATATAGATGCAGAAAGAGCAGGAGAGCACTTCCCAGCGTGGTCATTCATTATGTAATACGTGATATCTATTTCAAGCTTCCTCATGAAATTTTTAAAGCCTTTCATCTGTCCTATTTTTGCTCCAGCGACAAGATAAGGGAAGACTCTGGATTTCTTACCCGCACTATTTCACAGTCAACATTTAATTCTGCAGCCACAGCTTCAATTTTCTCTCTGCAGACTGAGCCCAGGCTGGTCATGCCATTGTCCCAGTATTTCTTTAGGGTGGCTAAGTCTCGGTCACTAAATTGTGTGCGGTCCTGTAACTGCAAGATAAAAAACACACTGTTAAGGTTTAAAAAAAAAATCTGCTTATCCCATTTCATTGCCAGAGGTCTCATGTACAGTAAGACATAAGTGGTACTGTCTCCATGGCTCTTCTTCTCTTTTAGCTCTCCCTTAAGAGTTTATTTTTTTAAAGTTTGGGGTTTTTTATTCAGGGCAGTTCAGAGTTCCCTGGGATTTGCTTTAAAGGCAGTGGCAGGTTTAAAGCACTTCAGCTTTGTTTCGACTCCACCTGATTTTTTTTGTCATTTTTTTTATCTCATCCTATAAGGCCTTACTGAAAAGAACTTTTTTCCCCTTGTGCTGTTTACTCTCTCCACCCAATTTATGCAAATTACTCCTTAAGGCTTTTCAAGTTTCTCACCCTCCCCCCCCCCTAAAGTTCTTTTATCTTACTGCAAACTACAATACATGCATAATTCAAAGGATTCTGACTTCCTAAAGGGAATACTTTAATGTTTATTTGGGAAGCTTGAGTTAAATTGGTTCCACTGTTATCTGAGAGTTCCCAAACTCTTTGTCTACACTTATCAAAATACGTGATAGTGGATCACTGATAAAAGGAGTAACACTGCAAAAGAACTCCTGAACATCACTGCTTGAACTGGGGTGGGCACAGAGTGTATTTCTCTGGTAGAGCTTCCAACCTTTATCAAAAGCTTGTCACCCAGAATTTTAACTAAAATCTAGTTTCTTTACACCAACCCATGTCTGTCACCTCTCCTGCTACTCAGAGTACAGAAATACAACCACAAAGTCTGCACTGTGAAGCTGTAGCCCGTGTAGCCCAATTGTCATTATTTCACTAGTTCATTTTGTTCACGACTGCAATAGCTGAAATCTGTGTTTGCTCATTTAAAAAACTGTGAAAAGTTAGAATGAAATAATTTTAAAATGGAGTAAAAGGGAATTTTGCAGAAATAGGATCATTTGACAACCTTGTAGAGTTACCAGTTCTAGCTTTTGTTAACCTTCAGAATATGGTAATCCTTACAATTTTCTTCTTTTGAAAATCACTTTTTAAAAAAAATGTTAGAAGTACTTGAATCACCTTAATGTTGAACATGAAATAGGGGTATCAAACCCTTATCTCCTTAAAATAATCCTGGGTGCCACAGTAATAAATGTACCAGGTATATTCAAATATGGTCTGTTTGGACTCGATGACTTTTGAGGTCTTTTCCAACTGTCACAATTCCACGATTCTATGATTATTAACTGCAACCAGGCACTCAGGAGTTTTTCCTGGCTATCATTTCATCCATCCAAGTCCAGAATGACAGAAGCTGTTTCCATCCCACCCATCCTTGGCTGATGGCACCCAGGGGCAGAGTGGAGCATCCATGGACACAGCACAGCCGGAGCCCCTCTCCTGCCTCCTGCACACCCTGAGCAGCCACAGCACAGGAGATGCTCCCAGACAGCAAGCTCCAGGCTATTCTCATCCAAAAGGAATCCACTTGGCACATTTCAAGAGTGCTCCAGGCTGAGCAAAGTGCAGCTAAGCCAAATCCCTGGTGCCCGTTCACCCTGAGCCGAGTCGTGCTCCTGGCACACCTGACCTGAGCTGCTCCTACCTACAAGCCCTTTCCAAGGAACAAAAGTGTAGTTATCTCCTGGATCACTGCAGCAACAGCTCCTTTTATGGCTGCTGGCAAAATAGATTGATTTCTAAAAGGACTGCTCTGTGGTGGGGGAGCTGAGAAAAGGGAAGGTAGAAAGGAGAGTGATACCAACACCCCAAATACACGGAGAAACCCCGGCCTGGCCTGCATCCCTGAATGCTCAGGGCAACCTCACCTTCCAAAGGACACTGAGTGTTTTTGAAACATAAATAAATAACATTTCTTGTTGGTTCTGGAGAGCTCAGTGACAGCACTGCTGCAACCACTGACAGGGAACTCCCAGCTCACTGTGATCTGTGCTCAGTGGGAGCACAAAACACAACATGCCCAGCTAAAGGACCCCCTGGAACACACTGTGCACATTCCCCCTCCCAGCAGAGGGGTGAAATGGGAGAAGCAAAAAGAAACCAGTCTGATGTTACTGCCCAGGGAAGGGAGCAGCTCCACTCAGGGTTGTCTTCTCCCACTGAGGTTTGTTGTGTTGGTCAAATTAGAACAAAACCCAAAGAAAGAGCAGCTGCTGCTGGAGGGAGCTCAGGTTTCTGTTTGCCACGTGATTTTCCAATTATCTCAGAAATGCTTGTACTGAAAGAACCCAGGGAAGAACTGGCCAACAGGAATGTGAGATGCAAGAGGATCCTGCACTGGACAAAGACACACAGTGACTGACTCAAGTTACCAAAGGGATGGTGCTCAGGAAGGGTGCAGAGCCTGCTCAGCTTTTACTTAATCAGTACAAGAAGAAAGCAGCAGCCACCTGACCTTCAAAACTTTTACTTAAAAATGCAGTCTCACATCTTTTCCATTTTAGATGGGTGGATGTTAATTCTGATCATCTACTACAAATGTTTCAATAAAAATCTTATTAGATACATCACCATTCAACGGTTTTCACCTCACAATGGCTATAAAATTTTGCTCCAGGACCAGGGCTGTAGAGTCAGTCTCAACAGTTTAGATCAAAGCAGATGTTTTAAAGTTTAGAGAAGTCTCCTGTAGCTACACTTTCAAAAAGGTCTTTTGCAGCTGCTTGCTGTGGAAATGAAAGGGGGAAAAAAATAGGAGGATTTTTTTTTACCTCCTTTTCAAAAACAATCCCCAGTGTTTCAGCTGACAATGTGTATTTTTGCTTTTTGCTGTTGCAGTTGCTGCCACACCAGGCACCTCATCCTGTCCCTCATCCCAGCAGTACAGGAACCACCCTGACACCCATCACGGGGCACAGAGGAAATGGAGAACAGAGACCTCAAAGGATGATCATTTCCACACCCTGCTCTCCTTTGCTGCACCATCATCCTGGGCTCAGTGTCAGCCCTTAAGCTCTCTGGATGTTAATAACACTTCAGCATGCCCAAATTTCAGATCCAGATTAACTGCCTTCATGTAACATGCTGTGCCATGTGCCTTAATCAGCAATTTCTTAGAGAAAATCACAAACTACCTTCAATTACAGGATCATCCCCTTGACATGGATTATACTCAAGTTTGACTCCTGCATTATAAACTGCTTAAAAATTACATAATGCTTTTACAACAGTCAATGACTTTTGTGAGAGAACAAAGGGTAGAATTTCTACATTGAACAGGTAACTATGCTTCCATCAACCTTCTCATGCTTAATATCATCAGAGGAACTGAGGAAGCAAGAGGAAAAACTCAAGTCCTATCTTAATATTCACAGTTATGGGGAAAAAACCCCATAATATTGAAAAGCTTCATATTTATAGCAATACTTTCTACAGATGAAGACAAGGCAGTAATTCAGTTCTTATTTTTACTTCATTAAATCAAACTATGAATTCAATTCTCATTTCCTCTCTTCAGATCTCGGGTTTGCCCATTCGAGGCTCGGCTTTACTCCCAGCAGTGTTGGCTGTTGGCTGAATTCTTCACATTGACCACTTTTGTTGTCCACAGTTAAAAAAAATCAGGAGAGGCTTCTTCCAGCAGAAAGCAGCCTCTCAATTCCCAAGGAAAAGCAATCCTGGCGAGCAAATTGAATCAGCAGTTCTGCCGCGCGCAGGGTTAAACCCGGCTTATCCCCCGACCTCCCAAGTGTAACAACAACATCCTTGGAAGAGATGACCCAGTTTATTATAGACATTCCTGGCACTGGGCCGACCCCTCATCACACCCACTGTGCAGGCAGGATCTGTGGTGCAAATCCGGTGCCTATAATTGGGATGAATAATTGCCCGGCAGTGGAGTGTCCTTATCCTGCCTTTTATTAGATCCTGCTTTTTTACATCCAGTTTTATGCATGAGTTGAAAATGTTTCAGGCCACGTGCACAAAAGCTATACACAAATCTCAGATTATTAATCAAAGGCATGGTAAAAAACGAGAGAACTGGGGGTTTAATATAAATGTAGTAACTACTGCATTTATGGTGCAGCTGAGCACTGTGTGTTGGGTTCATTTAAACTGCAGTGAAATCACATTAAATCAACATTCAGTTCTGATGCTTGGTGATGAAATGGGCTGAGGTAATGGTTATTTTTAGCAAACAAACCTCTCACAACAAATTTTCCGTGCCTTTGATCCCTGTCACTGCTCCTCTGTTGTATTTTGGGAGGGATGGGAAGATCAGAAGCGAGCACAGCATTCAAGGTATGAACAAATCCCAGATTCTTCTGTACAAGCACCCTGTCAGTTTTTCCTTCCCAATGACACCATCGTTCAGCTCTCTGAGCCCTGACACTAATTAATGTCTGATTTTTTCCAGGGATTATCAATTCCTACCTCAAGATCTTATTTATATATATTAATGGTTATTTCTGACCCATTTTACTATGGTTTCCCCTTTCCCATCTGTATCATTTAATATAAATCTTACTCTTGTTTATTATTTCTTGATTTCCCATATACAAATTCTGAAGGTCTGCATTGTCCCCTAACACTACCAAGATATTTAACCTCATTAAAGCTGTGCCAGATGCCACATTCCTTCAGTCTGAGGTTTTAGGTTCAGGTTTCACCAGTGCCCCCATGTCAGTGACACCCCAATCCTGCTGCTCACACACAGCTGCACAAACTTCAGGCACAAAGGACTTTGGAAAAGCAGCATCTGAAGGCACCTTAAACTCTTACTGCTGACACACTCTTAGGGCACACACTGTTAGATTTCTGCCCCAGAGATGGTTTGCATCCTTTCCCACTGGCTGGGGAAGCCTGAAGTTTGCTCTGATGGAAGCAGAACTCATCAATATTTCACAGGACCCCGGTGTGAGAAGAGCTGTAACTCTCTCATGAGCTTCAACACTCAGCCAAAATTATACATATTCTGTTAATATCTGTTTCTAAACCAAACTCAGCTAAGAAGATGAAAGAAAAGGAAAAAAGAAAAAAGAGGTATCAGTGCAATGAACAGTCTAGCCAAAAAAAATCATACTCTGAACCCCAGTCATCTCACTCTGCAATTTCCAAACCAACCCTCAATCCACACAAACTGAAAATTTGCCCTTCTTCTTGAGATTTTGAACTAGTTTGTTAAATACTGAACATTCAGCCCCAAAGTAAACTGATTTTTAGATGGTAATTATCATGATTCTTACTTAATCTATTAATAACTTCCTCACATTAGACCAGAAAGTCTCTTTTACAACCCCTGCCCAGGTGTGACATATTTCTGGCCTGCAGGTTCATGGCACACAATAAGCCAAGGTGGTTTGTGGCACTTTGGTGCAGCATGTCATATAATAAATAAAAAGATGTATTTTGTCTGCAATGATGACCAGACTTGCTCTCCCTTTGCATTCCCTGAGGATTGCTGCTGGACAAAGGTGCTGTTCCTGGGAGGAAGGCCAGGACATGCTCTGGATCATCTCATGGAGAAGTATCTTGAGATAGGTGGTGAAATATTTCCCAGGAGGAGGAAACACATTAACCAATATTCCCAAAGACACCAAGTATGAACAAGGACAGCTTCCCACCCAGACCTGTGGAGACCCTCAGCTTGGTTCATCTCCCTCCCTGAAGATCCCAACTGTCTCACTCAGACATGCTCCAAGCAACTTCACTAAACCACTTTTCTTCCCTCCTGGGAGAGCAGAGGAATCTGAACAGGTGAAGAGAACTTCATGTTGGTGTAGTCTGAAAACAAAAAGGCACAGCTGAGGTGCCCTCTGACTCCAGGCAGCTTTAATCCCTGTGGGGGCTTCACTGTAAAGCTGCTCCAAGGTATTTTTTCTCCAGCTCACATCCACTTACAGCAGCAGACAGTTTTCAGGGGCCTTTCAGACCCACTCCAAGGAGCATTTTCCTCAGCAGTTCCACTGCTGTCTCCCCCCCACAATCCAGCTGTATTCCCCATGCCCACGGATGTGCCATGGAACTGGTGGAGGTCTCACACCGACCTGAGTTAGAGCAGCTCCTCCCCTGACCCAAAGTGTGCCCACTGCTCTCCTCCTGTGGCAGGAGGACTCCAAGGGGGGACACTTTAATGCCACTGTCTCCAGAGTTTTATTCAAACAGGCCATGAGCAAAGAGTAATTTAAAATCAAAATTCAGCACAGGAACTCTCTCCACCCATTTCAGGTACTTCCCCTCCCCAAATACGTGTCAGACTGAGAGTCCACAGACCCCAGGCTGAAGCTCTGGGCAAATCTAAACCCCTCTTTCCCCCCAAAATAAAACTTCACAGCTAAGGCACAGCTTACCCAGAGCCATCACCTGTGTGACAAATGTTTTCCATATCATACCAACATATTTAATGGACCCCAAACACTAACCAGTCTGCTGGGACCTCAGATGACACAGAGCTGAAACACAGTCACACACACTAGACTTAAATCTAAGGGCAAAAGTGAAGATATTTTCCCCCTTTTAATGCTCTTTAACCAATATCTCTACTGCTATTTTTGAATCCTTGTTACCCTTCCACCACCCTGTGAAAAACCAAAAATCAATGCATTTGTAAAGGCCAATGCACATGCACCAGGACAGAACACAGAACTCTGTAACTTCCAAAGGCCCTCTCGTGAGTAACTGAGAGGGTGATATTTCTAGACTAATATTCATTAACAATCAGGATTACATCATCTTCCAGCAGAGAGAAAGAGTTTCTGCAGAACTGCACAGCTTTTATTTCTCTCCTGATGCAGCTGAAGGACAGGACAAGGAAAACAAAACATCAAGGCAAAAGACTAAAAATTCAGAGCATCTAAAAGACGATCTTCTCCATTTTAAACAAAATCCAGATTAGCCTTTTTCCTGTTTGAATGGCAGTAATTGCCATAATGGCACTTCTACAACTCCAGCCATTCTATTTTTGTTCCCTCACACCCTTTCTTCAAAAGGATTTCACAGTTGAAACTGAAGTTTTTTAGGAAGTAGAAGCTGCTTCTCTCTGTTTGTTGTCTTACACCTGCCTGTACACAGCAGTTTTAGGGTGCCAGGTCCTAACCCTGTTTCCTTAGGAAGGCTGATTCTGCATTCCAACTGGGAAAGTGCCTGCACAAACCTGGACACTGATGTTGTCAAACTAGATTGTATTAACCAATGGGTTTATGCATTTTATTGATTAAAAATATACAGGGGTAAAGGTCTAAGGAAAAAGAATTCCCTAATAACCACTCTTAATGGTTCCTCGCTGTAAGGAAGACATTGAGGGGCTGGAGCAGGTCCAGGGAAGGGGCTGGAGCAGCAGGAGCAGCTGAGGGAGCTGGGGGGGCTCAGCCTGGAGAAAAGGAGGCTCAGGGGGGACCTTCTGGCTCTGCAACTCCCTGACAGGAGGGGGGAGCTGGGTGGGTCGGGCTCTGCTCCCAGGGAACAAGGGACAGGAGGAGAGGGAACGGCCTCAAGCTGTGCCAGGGGAGGGTGAGGTTGGATATTAGGACATATTTTTCATGGAAAGCCCTGGCACAGGCTGCTCAGGAGTCACCAGCCCTGCAAGTGTTTAAAAAAAGTGTGTGGATGTGGCACTTGGGCACCTGGTTAGTGGTGAACATGGGGGTGGTGCTGTGCTGGCACCTGAACTCAATGATCTTAAAGGTCCTTCCAAACCTTAATGATTGTATGATTAATAAACAGGCACCTCCACATCCTTGAAGGTTTTAAACTTACTGCAGAAATGTCTTTTCCAGCTTGTGTCAGGGATCAGCATGATCACCATGCCCCAGGAACCCAGCCAGTGCTGCAATGAGGGGCCAGCATCACATCCCACTCCCAGCCACCTGCTCCTGCTGCCCACTCTGAGCTGGCTCTGGCACCCCCCTGATCCCCAGTAAGGACAGTCAACTCCAAAGACAAACTCAGCAGCAGAATATGTACCTGACAGCTCACACACTCCACCTGGGCTACCCTGCAATTAGATGTTGGCTGTGGATGGGGTGGCAGGGGGAAAACCTCCCCCTTTCAAAAGTGAAACTGTACTGAGGACACTCAGCAGCTGCTTTAAAAGGTCATTAAGTGATGAGGGGAAGGTGCCTTCCAGACAAGAGTTACATTTTAAAAAGCCTACCCAAGAGAATTAGCACTTAGGGAAGAGAAAAGAAGGACTGAGCACAACAGGATTTGTATGAAAGTACCAGTTCCTCTGGGAGATGCTCTTCTGAAGTGCTCTCTGTGTAAACTGAAATAAGTGATACCACCAAAGTCTGCAGAAACTGGAAGTGCTACAGCTGAGACCTGGAAAAAATCTGAGAGAAAACACAGTGCCACGGTTCTTAGATTCCTACTTATGCAGGAAACTACTAAACTCACACTTTTTGGAGACTAAACAGAATAACCAAAATCAATAAATAAAGAAAAAACCACTGGTTACAGCAGGAGATGGCAAAGAACCTTCCATTCCCCAGACCTCACACTGCCAAAGCAGCACCCACTGCCAGGACACTGCCAGCTCCACAGATTGGGGGTTTGGATGGGTAAGTTTGGGTTCCATGACAGACACCTCCCTAGTCCTTGGATCTGGTGGAGCAGCCTCTGGAGAACTTGGCTGTACCATCCAACCTGCAGGCTCAGGGGGGATTTTCATGGTGACGAAGCAGAACTGCAATGTCTTCAAAGAGAAGCCAGAAATGTGAGAAGTAATCAAACAAAAGAGTTGGACAGAGGTTTATTTTCCCTGATAAAAGCTGTTGTGTTACGGTTTGGAGTAATTTCGGAATTGAGGACAGCAACCTGGCTGATTCTGCTAATGTGAAATGACATGTATGTGGATGAAATTATACTTTAAAGTTCCTACAGACAGCCCAGACTAATTCTGTGCATGTGCACAGAAGCTGCACAGGGAGTTACTCTCTTAAGCATTCAGTTGCCTCAATTAACAATCATTTTATTTGCAATATAAAAAACATATTCTGAGCTCCAAACTCCCAGTCCATCAATTCTAATGTAATATTTCACCTAACAGACAATTCCCACACCTGAGCATCACATCACTTCACACAGGATTATGACCTTGGCCTGGTTTTAAAGATATACATCAAACTTTACCTCACCTGAAACACTGCACCTGCAGATAATGTTTGTTTTAGTCCAAGTATAAAGGGAAAAAATTCAACACAAGGTAAATAGAACTGACATTTTCAACAATGCATTTTTATCAACTTCCCATTGCTTCGCTTGATGCATTAGATACTTAAATAGAAATGTACTTACTGCTCTTTTTCTGGAACAACCTGTAATCCAAGGCACAGTAAGGTTTCCTGAAATCTGCAGAGGACAAGGAGGAAACAGAACAGAAAACAAGAGCAGCTTAAATTGCTGTGAGAGCTAAAACTTAGCAGCCTTCCCAAGACTTCAGCACTGTACATTCAATTCAGGTAACAATGTCTGTGAAACAGGTTAAGATTTACAAGCAAAGTCCCACTGGGCCTCACTGTTAAGACTAAAACACTGTTTTTCTTTGGGTGAGGGTAAGATAATCTCAAAACTTGTATTTCACCAGATTTCACTTTCAGCCTGTCCCCAGACTGGCAGGAACGAGCAGACGAGTCAGACAAGGGCTGATGTCCAACAGAACTGCCCTCACAGTTTTCTAAACTACATCAATTAAACTTTCTGAAAAAATGCTCTCGCGTTCATCACGATACTGTTCACTGTCAGATTGACAAGGATTTGAGCATTAGCAGAAAAGTCAGGGATATCAGGTTGGAGAAGGAAAGAGAAGGGGTGTGAAGGCAAAGGTTAGCTGCCTCAATTTCCATTGCTTCCCCATCATTCCCAGAGGTCAGACATTATTAAATAATAATCTCGGACTGTTTTCCCTGGCCCTCTGAAATGTGGCATAGCCTGGAATATTTTAGGCTTATTTAGGATTCCATGTTCATCTCTGCTGCAGACAAGCAATGCTTGAGACACTAAGCACAGCTCTTACATTAATACATCTCAAGTCGTATCTGCAATCTGAGGAAGAAAAACCTGTGTGGTTCTGCTGCCTGAGCCAAACTCCACTAATAGTTTTTATACTTGCAAGGTGCTCTCCTGATGACTCCTGCAGCGTGAGTACAACCAAACCAGCATCCCTGGGACAGCTGGCTGGGGTACAAGCATACAAGACACTTTTATTCTTCAAGCTTTCAGCTGGAAGCACTTGGAGGTTGCCCAAGGTCAGACACTTTCTCATTACAGCACAAGGTGGGTTGATGGGGGTAGACATGAGCACCATCCCTTCCTAAGGGCAAATCTGCATCAGATTTTAAGGCTAAAATATTAATTTCTTCACTGCACACACGTCATAAATTCTGTATAAACTTGTTACATCTATTACTATCCCATATCCCACACGACAGCTTCACACCTGTAAAGGCACCCTGAGCATCCACCCAGGTGGCTCCTCTTCACAAATTTCAAGTGGGGCTACAAAGAAAAGGTGCTTTTCTGTGTGAATAAAGCAAACTCAGCCTGGCAGAGCATTAAGGGTTGCCAGGAAGACAAATGCACACAGGTTCTGACAGGTAGGAGGCCAAATACAGTCAAGTTCATCTCAGCAGAACTGCCTGAAAGACAACGTGCATGGCAGAATTCTAAAGTGTTGTGATGAAAAAAGGCAGAAGGGTTGGAGTCAGGTTTTTTTTGGGGGGGGGAATGTGTGTATTTTTTAGAGTGAGATGGATCATTATTCTGCATCCACAGGCATAACTCCAGTCCTGGTCCAACTGGGACAGCTACAAAAGTGATGACCTGAAATGCCTGACCCAGAGATTGTGCCTCAGAAACTGCAGATCTGCCAGAGACACTCAGAGGTGCTGCAGCCCTCGAGCTGTCCCTTCATCAAAGGGGTTACACTATACAGGGTGCTACAGAATCTTTTCCCAATTCACCTGTAGATTTTATATCCCAAATTCAGTGCACTGGACCAAACCAGGAGCTGGTTGCTGTGTCCCAGCACTGCTTGGGGCCACATGTGGTGTTTTTGCAGGAACCTCACAGGTTCTCCCCCCTCATTCTACAAAGCAGCATCCTTGAAGCCAACTCTATAATTAAATAAATATATATATATACCTGCATAATCTATTCTGACTGAAAGGCTTTGGATGCTCTCCAAAAGGAGATAGGGTTAAATTAGATACTGTGTTTCAGTGTTTATAACAAAGTAATTAAAAATACACATCTTCAACAGTATTCTTGTCCCCTTGGGGGGGGGGGAAGAAAGCAAGACTAAACCCCAGTTCAGCCTCAAGGACAGCACAAACAGCCTCTCTACTTCTACACACTTAAAAGTCAAACTAAGACAAGGAAGAAGGTTGAACAATTTGTTTACTGAAACTGCTCAGGCATTAAAATTGATCACTTAATTAAATTTAGTCTTAAGTTACACTAACATGAATTTGATTAATTGAACCAGTAAGGAAGCTATAACTAATTGCTAATTAGATACCTCACCAATACACGACAGTAATTACTTCATCAAAACACAAATCACACAGTCCTGACTTTGAAGAAGCATCTGCTTGGATGTTCCAACTAGTGCAATAATTATTTAGCTCAAGTTTAATCTATTTTTAAATTCAGGAAGATCTCCCCAAGTTTAAGGATTTTCATTCCTATGCTGCTGGATAAATTAGCTAAACATGGGCAATAAAATGAGCATGAACTGACTACAAGAAAAGGATTCAGACAGCACCTTATGAAATCTCTAATAGCCAGGAGGTTCACAGGGTGCCTGCTCACAGCAATAAGGGAAGTAATAGCAACTTGTTCAGGTTTTCCAAGGTTTAAAACTCTGGAATGAAAAGGGATATGATGGGAAAAAAAAAATAGCTCCCTCCATATAAGTTGCATTCCCAAATCCAAAGAACAAGGTCCCTGAGGCAGACAGGGAGGTCAAACAAGTACAGATGAATTCAGTTCTCAAAAAAATAGGTACATTATAACAGGGGTGAAGTAAAAGAAAAACCTAAAAACAGTTATAGAGATCTTGTTCTGATCTATATCACACCACCCAGATGGATAAAATGCCACCTACCATGAACTGTTTCAGCTGTTTAAAAAGACCATCCCTGCCCCCCAAAAAATCAAAGTTATTCCAAATTTCATAAAAAAAAATAAAAACAGAGGAAATAAATCTCTCTGATGTTTTTTTCAAGAGTGAAATCAGCTCCATGAGCACAGAGCTGGAGGTGTCACTAATGGATTTCACTTCATGAAACTTTAGAAAAATGTCCTTAACTTGACCATAAGCACTTCTACCAGCCCTTCACTGGACAAATCTGCACATTTACAGCCCTTCCTTTCCTATGAAACTGGGATGTCAAAAGAAAACAGCATTTCATGAATTTTACAACTCAAGTAAGAACAGTAACAGCAAACACTGACAGCCTAAGTGAGAGAAGGGAGAAAGGGAAGAACAGCTTGTCTGATGTCCCACCTGCTCCACAGAATTCACTCCAGAGTATCTCTGTTCATCAAACCTCAGGTTTAACAAGAAAAGCAATAATTTCGGTGAAAAGTGGCACTTACTCGGATTCAAGAGGTTTCTTTCACAGCCTCACATGAGATAGGAACAAGTCAGGAAAAAAGGAAATAAAAAATAAAAAGCACTCTGCAAAGTCCTGCTCCCTTATCCCACTGAGCAAAGCACAGGAAAAGCTGGTATGGTGCTGACATGGTTCATTTTCAGGATAAATTAAAAAGGCAATAACAGGCCAATGCATGAAGGTAAGACATGCAGGATCACATCCTGCTAGCCTTAAAAGACTTTTATCTCAGTGTCTCTAGGCTATGTCATGCCACATGACATAAAAATCCATGAAAAATACCAATTTGGATGTTTTCTGCACAACTCTCTCTCCCCTAGTAATAACAAATAATAAAAAAAATGTGTCAAGTGTTGCAGTTTCTTCTGAACATCTTTTACTTCTTCAATTATCTGCATTTAATTTTCCCCTCAGGATCACTAAAGGGACTTTCGTACAGGGTGAGGAATAAAGGGGTTGAATGTAAAACTGCTACTGGAATTAGACACTGCAGGAAAGGATGAATATTTGCTCCCTGAGTGTGTCCCATCATGTTAACTCTTCACAGGAGATCTTAATCCCTCACAGACACAGCTCCAGGAGACTGGCACCTGCACAGGGAGTACAGGAATCCAAGCTGACATCAATGAGGGTGAGCAACTGCATCCCATGTTCTTGTGCCACGTGTGATGTGTGCACACACAGAACAGCCCAGGGTATTGCTGGCTCAGGTTTGAGCATCAGCTCGTGGGTATGACCCTCCTGCACCCAAAATTTAGCTGTTGAATTGATGAACCCTTCACTGATCTTCAATATACAGCTACCAGGGGCTCAGCTGGACAGGTAAGAGTGGCACCACCCTGCAGTGCTGCCTGCACTGTGTTTGAGAAGGAACTATCTCCACTGAAAGGTGTAGAAGCCTGCAGAAAGGTGAACCTATTGCTTAGCAGCCACCAGCTTTGAGAGATAACATTTATCTACATTATATTTGTATACAGTATTTATCTACAACCTTGGCTTCAAGGTTCGAAGACAGAGATAAACTGATGGATTACCTGGTAATTATTTTGGTTTTGTGACAGCCTCAGTTGACTTGAAGATGTAAAATGAGGAGCAAAGGTACTCCTGGATGCATTAGCACCGCTGTACATTGTGCTGGCTGTGCTGTGCAGGGAGGTCCGTGCAGGGAGGTGGTAATCTCTGCTGTGGTAGAGAACACTGTCAGGCAGGTCCCTGGCACTGCCCCCCTGTGCCCCACAGCCCCCGCTGCGGCCCGGCCCCGACACGGCTGCGCTTTGGTTCTCCACTCGAGCAGAGCTGCTGCTCTCACAGTATCTGGAGTAGCTCTGGATTTGTGCTCCCATGGATGCCAGCTCCTCCTCCCTGGCGTACTCGTCCTCCACGTCCCCCGTCTCCATGGCGATGGACAGGCAGCTGCCCTCCAGAGAGGAATGTTTCTGCGTCGTGCTTCCCGCCACCATCCTCTGGGGCTGGTCCGTCACCGCCAGGGAGAACACCTCGCGGATCTCCAGGTTCTGGGTGCTACAGGCAGGGTCCCTGGGGTGAGCCCTCTGCCCGTGGGGCCCGTGCGATGCCAGAGCCACGTGCTCTGGTTTGTGTGACCTGTGACAGCCCACGGGCTCAGCCTTGCAGGGCCTGTGGCATATCATGGGTTTCTGAGGTAACACCAGCTCCGCCGTCTGCACCGAGGAGCCGCCGTAGCTTTTCTTGGTGTGGCTGTAAATGGAGTTTGCAGAATTGAGCACGCTCGTCTGCCTGGATAAAATAATGGTCTTTTCCCCTACTAATAGGGAAGCATTTTTACAGTGTGGTACTTGTCGTCCTAGAGGGATGTGCTGCTGCTGGAACTCCGCGTTGCCTTTCCCCGGGAGCCTCGGGATGGAGGTTTTGTGCATCTCTGCCATGGAAGCGTTGGTGTGTTTGGTGGATCCCTGCCTGCCCGAGGAGCTGGCAGGGCTGTAAATCCCAGTCACTATCACATCATTATTAGAAGAGGTCCAGGAGGACTGCTGGCTGTGGGATCGGGCAATATTGACCACGTTCCGAACTTCTGGGGGCACTGAGGGAGTGGCAGGGGCCGTCCCTGGGGGGGTCCCTCCGGATTCCACCGTGCTCTTGCTGCTCATCTTCCTCCTTTTATTGCCAACCCACGTCTGCAAACAACAACAGCAAACACGAAACGAGGCATTAAAGACTCACAAAAATCAGGCAATTCCGTTTTGAAGCAGGTCTGGTGAAATGTTAAGTGTTCAAGTTGTGACCTAAGTTGAGAAATATGTAAATCATCGACTGATTATGCAGAGTCTGAACAATACAGGGTGGAAATCCAGGCCTGAACAACACAGAGTGGAAATCCAGGCCCCTCCTGCTTGGGGTCCACACACTAATACACAGGAGAAGCCCAGTCTCAGTGCCAAAGCCCCAGTTTCTCAAAAATCCTGATGCTGTATCATGCCTTCTCTCCCAAAATTACCGTCAAGATGTGTTTCATTGTCACCACTGTGACTAATCCCCCCAAATTTAAGTTTTTAATGTTCAGCACCTTAGATTGCAGAGCCATCACTCTGGTATGGAGCTAAACTTTTGTAACCCAGTAACTGAGAGATACGACCTTCAAATCTGCCTCAAACAGAAGCTGCCAATTCTGGAATTAGGAGGAGAGGAAGAAAAAGAAGAAAACAATTTTGTGAAGTACTCAGACCTATGGGCTAATTCCTCCTCTGCCAGCTGCAAAAATCAAGATCTGAGGTCAAAACCTGCTTTTGAAAGACACTGATAGACAAGATCAGGACTGCAGGGATTAGATTCCAACTGAAATTTGCCATTATGGACATTCCTGACAGTAACAATGACAGTATATGGTTTTGTGTAATAGATAGGAGAGGAAAAAATATTTGAGAAATGCAGGTACTGTGGCAGTTGTGCACAGGTTGAAACGTGCTGTGGTTTGAAGCAGATGGGAAAGTGTGTCAAATTTTGCAAAATGTCTAATTTGAGGCACAATTTGTTACATGCAGTAAAATCTGAGCTACTAGTGATGACATTTTTCTCCTTAAAAACCAATTTAAAAACAGAATTTATAGCCACAGACCTCAAGTTATTTTCCTTTACTGTATAAAACAGATTTAGAAGATTAAATTTTACTCTTTTTTTTTTTAATTTCTGCTCTGTCAGTAAACTTTCAAGAGAGAAATTACAATTGAATGGAGACACTGCAAATTTTGGACCAGGAAAAGAGATTTCATCCCTAACTTTTCCAACTGTACAGAACTAAAATATGAACGTTTTCCTTACAGTTTTCCTGAAAATAAATGCTTTCTAAGAAATGCAAATACCTTAATAGCACTAATAATAAAATACAGCTTCATGAGACAGCACAAGTCAGATTTGACTCTGCTGAGAGTCCTCCTGACCGTGTTCCTAGTTCTTACTCCCATCATTTATCCAAAACACCCACCTGAACTCCCCCAAAAGGCTTAAAGTGAATTGGCAAAACAAAAAAAAGAGAACAAAGGCTTAGGTAAGGTTAGCAAAATTACCTGGAATTACCTGGGTTACACTGAAACTTAATAAAGCCACAGATGATGAACACAAGAAGGAAGAGAGGAGACAAAGTATTTGCCATCTTGGAGACTGGAAAGATTACAAATACTCTTCAGATTTCCTAATTTTGCAAGGGAGAATAGATTTTATGTATTGCAGGATAAGATCTGTAGAGGTTTACTCCAAATGATAAATGGGAAAATAGGACTTTTCTTTCTTTCCAACCCAGCTCAAGACTGGAAAGACTGGATGCAGTTCAATGGGATGAGATGGCAGAAATCCTGATTCTGGGAAAGAATGCATTCATGGAGTTACGATATTTGAAGTATAAGTTGCATTTAGGGAATTCATGTTCCTCTTACAATCATATCTGCAAGTGCCAGCTGGAACCCAAGTATCATTTTGCTGGACGTTGTACAAAGGAGAACTAGTCACTGACCAAGAGTTTTGTAGGGAAAAAAAAAAGGAAAAAAGGGGGAATTAAGAGAGGAAGGAAGGAGGGGTGTAAAGAAGAGAAAGGTAAGATCATGCAAAAATATGATAAATGCAGGACAAACACTGGGTCTGTTTCGACTGCACTTCACAAGTGGCAAAAAAACCCTTCACAAGTTCTAAGGGTTGCAAATCAGGGCTCGGTAAGGGAATAAAACTGAAGGAAAAAGGCCCTGATACTTTACTGCAGGAAGGGAAACTGAGAGGGAAAGGAAATCTGGAGAGTGAAGGAGGACTGCCCAGAGAGGAGAGACTGGCTGCCTCCTCCAGGACATTCAATCAGCACAAAAATAGCAGAGCAGGCCCTGAGTGCACCATCAGCATCCAGATTCCTGTTACAACTGTCTGCCTGTTCCAGGAGCCTCAATCCCTGGCTGACTTTCACAGCTTCCCACCACCAAGAGCTCAAAAGGACAGTTTCAATGTTTCCAGACTATTGTGAGGGAGGAGAATCCAGGTAATAATCAGGGAGCAGGAAGGGTTGTTGTTGTCGATATATCACTGGTAAACCAAATAAAAAACAACCCAGACTGGTCTCACTTCTTCTTCCTCCTCAGTGTCCAGTGTTGCAGCAGCTCCTGGGAGCTGCACTGCCCTTGTTATTTTTTCAGCTAATGCTTCATGATTTCTATTTCTGCTCTCGGCCAAGAGCCATTTTGTGTCTAGTGTTTCACAAAGGGATTATTATTTCCCTTCCTGTGGAATTCATAGACTTTGGAAGAGCTCCTGTTAGCCCTGGTGACATTCTTGTTTTATAAGAAAAGAATGTCCTCACTGTAAATAGCCATGAGGGACCACAATATTTATGATTGTGATGTGGAATACAAGTGTGACAGAGAAAGAAATAGTTCCACAATTATTCCCCCAAATACATCAGCTTATAGAAACTTCTTTAGCTTAAGAACAGTCTCTTAATAACATGACCTTGCTTCTTGCTTTCATACAATACATTGCACAAAGTTTGTACAGGGCAAACTAATTTGTAATTTATTAAAGACTAATTTAAAAAATCCCAGCAAAAGACAAACAAAAATTATTCCTTGTGCAACCAGGCCCCTGCTAAATACAACAATCATGTGAAGACATTACAGTGAAAACAAACTAAAAAAAGAAACATGTCACATACACACACTGAAGCCTGATTTAAGGCAATGATGGAGTTAAGAGATTCCACATCTCTAAATATTTTATGTAAAGCAATAAATGTGTACAAGTTTAACAAACAAATTTGGAAGGCCTGAGTACTCACCCTGACCACACTGAAGTCCAGTTTTGTTTCTTGTGCACACTGTAATATGAGCTGAAAGCAATTTTTACTTTGATTTGTCATTCCATTTTCATAATAACGCTGCAATATCCTTTGTTGTTCTACAGTAAATACAGAACGCAGATTCATCTGGAAATAAAAGAAGATACTCTGAAAGTTGGAATGAAAACTGTAAGACTTGCAGAATACACAGGCTCTCATTTATACCTGTGATAACACTAAGGGTTGACATGTTTTCTCTACAGAATCTTTTACCAATGCTTTTACTTACTTTCTAAAAAAAAAACCTGTTACAGTCAGCATTAGTGATTCCTTTGTGACAGACTGAAGCTGAGCAGGTGAATTATAAGTCTGCAACAACACTGACAGCTTTTCATAAATAAATAAATATTACATTGTGTTGTTAAGTCCATGAGGCTCTAGTTTCAAAGAAAAAGTTTCTCCCTTAAAAAAATAAAATAAAATAAAATAAAATAAAGGCATTAGGTAAAACAGAGTAACATCAGCAGATTCAATATCAGCTGGTTTCTCCTCACCTACCAAGAAAAGAGACAAAATCCGAGATAAAATAAAGGTGACTGTTTGACAGGAGTGAAGTTTCCATGGTCTCCACCTTCATCAAATCCTACCCTCTGTGATGGCTGGTCCTGCTGCTGTGTCAGCACCAGCACCTCCAGCTGTAAAGTCACAAAGATCAAGAACTGGAGACCAACTTGGGGCAAAACACCCCCAGGAGGGGCTTTAGGCAGCTCTGGAGCCACCCAATGCAAACACTGCAGAGGAACAGAGGAGGGACAGCCTGTGTCACAGCCTGGGCTGAGAAAGGTCCAGCTCCTGTGGAACTGCACCCTGAGGCTGGAAATCAGGATTTTTAAGAACATGTAAGGGTTGTTTTCCAGGGGTATGAGCCAATGCTGACTGCAGGACCTCAGGATGTGTTCCTGCTCCTTGGTTTGTCCACAGTGGTGCTGAGGAACTCAACCAGGACCAGCCCCAGGCTCCCCCAGGGCCAGCAGCAACTCCTCAGTCCCGTTCCCAGCACTGGGTCCCTCCAAGAATCTCACTGTTCCTGGGGACAGGAGGTGGCCCAGGACAGGGCAGCAGTTTGATGGACACATTAAACCACATATGGCTTTGTTACACGTGACATCTCACACCCTGGCTTGGTAAAGCACACAGCTGAATATGACCAAGTGCAGAACAGACTCCTGAGGGCAAACTGGAACTGCATGTTCTTGCTACAAGCAAAAAATATAATCCTGTGGTTAGAGATCAGAAAGAAGATCCCAATCATCACCAATTTCCAGAACAGGGCCTTTATTTGTCCCAAACAAAATGTAGCAAGTGCTGGCCAGGAACAACCTGCATCCAACTTTGTGCCTTGGGAAGCAAAACTGTCACTTTAATACAGTACATGTATCATAATAATGCAGAACAAACTAAAGAATAAGAAACCTCACCATCATCCTGTAGGGAAATAAAGGGGATGAGGGAACCCTTTGCAGCCACTAAGCTTTTTTTGAAAACGCTCAATGGAAAGGAGCATGGTGATAGACCTAATCTTTGTACAAGAAATGCTTTCTGATATAGAGCAAATAAAATTATTAAAGGCTCAAAAGCTTGAGCAGACACCCAACTGCTTCCATATTATTCTCCAAGATGATTACACTATGTAATGGTAATGGATGTTAGAGTTCAACAGGCCTGTATAAAGAAAAAAGATTAATATCTAGAATTTGGAGCAAAATGCTTGTAGGCCAGAGCTGTGACTTCAGAGTTTACTTTCCTCTCTATGTCAACAGACAATAGAAAAATCAATTTGTAAAAATTACTGTTTCTTTGAAATAATAGTTAAAACAGAAGATGATTTTTCAATCATCTCTTTTGCCTCTGTTCCCAACTCCTGTTCACCCTCTCAATGCAGTGCATTATCAAATGCAGCACCACCAGCTACATGACAAATCAGGCTTTGCCTGAGTTCTGCCTCCCCCAGAACAGGTATTCAGTCACAGCCAGAGCTGGGCAAGGGAGACTCTGGCTCTGAATAATCTACTGTTTAAAGAAATTTATAGCAATTAGCAGAGGAGATAATTATTAGTCCATTAACAAATCAATAAAGTTCATAATAATCTACTCTATAATGTTGGGAACTGCCTTCAGATGTCCCACGTGGATACACTCGGTGACATGGCCACTGACTGATTTATGTCCCTTCTAAAGGACACACAAGAGGCAGTTTTGTGGTTCTTGCACAATTGGCAGGGCCCAGCTTCCACTTCTGGCTACTCCTCTTTCAGTGCCAGAGGTCCTGTACTATTTAGTGGAGCTCAGTTCCCACAAACAACCTCATCAGAAATAGTTATGAACCTTCCACGTTCCCAGATCCAGCTGTGTCATCCCAAAGCTCAGCACTTCCATCCACAGGCTCATCACATCATGCTCTCCAAATAGTTCATCAACTCCAGTGAAGACTCTTCCCATTGCAAGATAAATTTTTAGAGTCAGACCTGATGACCTTCGAGGGAAGACGTGTGACAGGTCCTTGACACATTTTTAATTATGGAGATTTCTGTATCCAAGGTCACTTCTATGTTAAAACACTTTCATTGTTGCATTTGACATTTGTAATTTAGATACAGACAGGGTGGAGCATTTTGATTAAATCACTTGAACTTCAGATAAACTGTCTGACAGGCTTGGCCCAGCTAAGCTCCAGAGAGGTCATGGTCTGGTTTAATAACTCATTTTTGCAGTATATTTTAATCACTTGTGAGCTACACCTGCCAACTGGGTACCCTCTGCCTTGAACCCAGCTGAGTCCAGCTCAGGGCATCTGTGAGAGGCCATCAGAAAGTGATTTAAATAACTAAATTACAGGATCCTACAGACACTGAGTTATGGCAGCTGAGTCATAACTTGAGTTTACATTCCAACATCTAAACCTTCAATTAAGCAGGTGAGAATTTATTAAAGCATTTTGTGTCTTAGACATACCGAATCCTAAATCAATAGAGAGTTCTGGACCATTTCCCACTAATTTTACACCACTGTGTAGGATGTTTGGCAATACTCTGTCTCTGGCAGGTGCAAAGTTCACTGATATTACGTCACCTTTAAAGTCCAGCTGGAAATCAGTTTGCTATCAGCAATTCTTCAGTGCTTATTTTGAATATCTAAAACAGTACCCTGCGTTGAATAAACCAATTCCTGGATGTTTGGAAGCTCCACTAGAACACCATGAAGTCCAGAGTTAATCAATGAAGAGCTGCCTCTGCATGTCCCATCTTCACAGGCAACAAGTTCTGCTCACACCTGGGAACTGACCCACATTGAGCACTCAAACATCTGTGAGAACATAATGTTACTGTCTCTGAGACAAATTAACACAGGGTAGATTCATCAAAGGATTACACTGGTTATTTTTTTTGGAAGTATTACCTATTTAGCATCAGATTTTGTAGTTAGAACAAGACATTAAGTCTTACATTTTCTCCAACACGGGAAATCACTTAAAAAGTGCTAAAATTACTGAACATTAAGGCAGTCACATCAGTACCAAGGGAATCAGCAGGTCACACTCCTTCATCACAGACATTATTCAAAACAACCTCAGTAACTTCTAAGGAAACAAACTCCTTTTCCCAGTTTGTGCACCTACAGAGCACTCCAGCCTCAGGATTTCTCACCTTTGTCTTGAACCTCAGACTCCAAGTTAGAAATCCACATGGATTTTTATCATAATTTCATTTTGATCTTGACTTGCCAAGCTTAGCAAACATGCATGTGAGCTTTTGGGAAGCCGGGTGTCCAGCTGGTTGGCAACACATTGGCACTGAAAAGAGAGTTTGTTACAAAAAAGAACTCTGTGAAATTTAATAAAAATCAGGCAAAGCATTATGCAAACAAATTCCATGACTGTAAGCTGCATTTTCACTTCAATAAAAGACAGAGGTGGCAAAGCAGTACTTAAGGATTCAACATCTGCCTGTTCTAGCAAAATAAAGCAGCCTTGGCCAAGTGTTTTGCAGTCTTGACAGTGCAGAGAATAAGCTGTGACAAATGAAAAAGCACCTTCACCCCTGGGATGTGTCCTAGGCCAGCTAACGTCATGTAACTCTTCACTTTGGGGGTCTCCCACTCCTCAACCTACAGTGAACCCACAGAATGAAGATGTTCTTCATTCCCTTTCTAAACTGAATACTAATTAAAAAACTTAGCATGGTAAGATCTCTGATATGTGTGGTGGTTTAGGAGATGTAAATGTAGCCCAGGTGTTAAGCAGGGACTGTGACATGTGGGAGATCCCAGAGTGATCAGTGACAAGGTCAAAGATGGGAACTCCCTGCCCTTCAGTTTGTCCCAAGGACAATTCCACAGACACCCTGTGACTGTCACAGTGGCTCCTTGTCAGGTGACATTAAGGTTGTTCTTACAGCTGAATTTTGCAGGCTTCTTAAGCTGTTTAAGCAACTTTTTCACAGTGTCATCCTTCCTTCCCTTCTCTGGGAAGAGCCAGCAGGAGTGGAAAGAGGAGAACACGGAGATCTAAAGCAGAGTTTGCTCCTGAACATTTCCTTCACAGAACAGGCACTCAGGGTATTGTCCCACAGGGTTTGCTGCAAATGCCCAGTCCTTCCACCCCAGTTACTTTATTCAACAGCCAGAAATTAGGAATCTCTCCAGGGAGACCTGGTGAAGGCAGGTCACACATTTTTAGCAACTAATGGAAACAACTTGATGTCAAGGAGTAAGACAAAAGAAAGAACAACTGAAAGAAAATGGGAATAATCATGTAATCAAATAATTCAAGAGTTACTTAACTGTTCTGGAATGACTTGAAAAATCTGGGGTCAAAAAAAGGGACAAAAAATAAAGAAGTAGCATAAGAAGGAAAAAAAGTCTGCCTACAAGTACAGCAGTATAATCTCAGTGTCCAAAAGTATCTAAATATTAAGACTGCTGAACCAAGTAAACTTTTACAAAGTAAATCTCTACAGAACACTACATTAATAGTATTTAATTTGAAAATAGGAAATAAAATTTCCAACTACAGTCATTTTAAACAGCAACAAAAAAATAGTCTTGGATGTGATAAATAATAAATAATTCATTCAGAGCACAAGCCACCACAAAGTAACTAAGTATAAAAATCTTCATGGTATAAACCATAATAAAACTGTCAGGGATTAACACAGAATGATAAAAGGGAACAAGCAGTTTCTGAGAGTTTTCTTTTTTAACTTCAGCACCAAACAAGTATTTATTTATAAAAAAGTCATCTTGCAAAGTCTATTTCTGTTTTAGTCTGTCCATCCATAACAGGTATAACAAGAAAATCAGCACACTCCTCTATTTATCCTTTTTTCTGTTCCCTCCACAGTCTCTTGTGGCAAAAACCAACAAGTCTCAGTGCCAATACAAATCTGAGACAAAACTGGAACTATGATAAGAAATGTACTCCAGACATAAATAAAACAAGACTGCAGTAGTGACACTATTCCTCCAGCTTTAGGAACCTCATTCACTTCCCACAGCTGCCAAAACCTCACCATTTCTTGTACATCCCCAGTGGAAAGAAAACAACCAACCAACCAACATTGTAATGTGTGGGGATACTGGATACACATCAAGCAACAATGTTTAATAATCTGAATTGGCAGGTTGGTGCCTCTTTCCTCCACAGGCCAAACCAGTTAGAGCCACAGGCTCCCAGTGCAGTGGGTGAGGCTGATGGTTGGGTACGTGCAATGTAAAACTACTTCTAAATATCCGTGACTCGCAGCATAATTGCTTCCCTCTCCACTAAGTACAGCATTTGTAGGATTGTATTACAGTCCTACCTATAAAATGCAGCCCTTTATTAGGGACAAATTAGACAGCCCTCAGTAACTTAATAACATAATAACCCATGACCACAACTCCACAGGTTTATGCATCCCCATCCCACTTTACTGATGCAAATGAGACTCCTGACTGCAGCTGGATTAACCACATGTTTTAAATAGAGCATGTACGTGTTTGTAAGACCTGTGCCAGGAAAAAGGGATACTAAAATGCTGTGTTACTGTGAAGGTGTGAGCTGCTTCAGGACTCCAGTTTGGAGGACATAAAACTACTTTGGTTAGTTATGTGTGATCTTACCCATAGTATCAGATCTTACCTATAGGATCAGAAGCCCCAGGCTAACAGAGGGCAGGAGACAGGGTTGGGGATTGCCTGGGGCAGGAAAATGCTCCACAAGCACTTCCAGGGCACCACCATCCCTCCAGAACAGCACAGCCAACTTCTTCCCCCTCATCCCCAAACATCTGAGGAGTAAAGTCTGGCAGCACAAGGCCCCCCTGTTCACACCACACACAGGCTGTGCCTGGCACCACAACAGGCCGATATCATGGAATTACAGAATGGTTTGGGTTGGAAAGGACCTTAAAGTCCATCTCCTTCCACCCCCTGCCCTGGGCAGGGACACCTTCCACTAGACCAGGTTGCTCCAGGCCCTGTCCAACCTGGCCTTGGACACTTCCAGGGATGGAGCATCCACATATGCATTTGAGAGGTGGAATCACAGAACAGCTGGAGTTGGAAGGG